GGATCCTAGAGTTAGTGAAGAAGCACATTGGTTATATTGATTTGTATATTCTTGGAATTGTAGACCCCAAATTTAACTTCTCCCATTTCTGGACATTGCCAGCTGGGGTGAACAGCTGGGACTCTTGAGAAACCCAGAAACTCCAGGAGGGTGGTAGTGGTTATAAACAGTGTTCCTAGCACCCTTGGAAACATAGTTGTAGTAGCAGAAGAAAACTAGGCAGTTCTATGCTTGGAATTCCTGAAATAAATAAAAGAGAGGCCCACTAATATAAGACTTGCTTAGCAGTTCATTTGTTAACATGCTTTGATGATAACTGCAGGTCTCTCTGTTTGGTTAGAAAAAGAAAAAGCCTAGAGAAGTTAGTATATCAAAATCTGCAGCAAGGCAAATGGCCTTAACCTTCTACTTTACTAAATTTATATTGCAAGTCACCTTTGGTCCTTTTGAGGAAAAAGGTTGGCATAAATAAATAATAAATAACGATAAGACTGTTCTCTCCTTTCCTCTTTGCTGAAGGTCCATCTGGACTGTACACAGCTGTATCTGTTTGATGCCATGGCTCCTTCCTAAAAGGGATCTTGGGATTTGTAATTTGGTGATGTACTTAGATTTCTCTGCTGTAGTTCAGGATCAGTGCAGTCTATGGCAGGGAATTCTCAGGATCTCACCAAACTTCAAAGTGTCAGTTAAAGCGATACCAGACTGTGGAGTCCATATACATGTTGTGTCGAATGGCTGGTCAGAATGGTAGGCTGGCTCAAACAAACAACGCAGATGAGGCTCAAGAGAGACTGAGAATTCATGATCATTCATGTTCACAGTTCAGCAGTGAGGCGAGCAGAGAACCTAGAGGGAGGATGTGGAGATACCCGAGGGGCATGGGGCACCCAGGAGCCTGCCCAAGGAAGGACAATTACATTTTAAAGTTTACCTCTGATTCCCTTGTTTCTTTCTTCACAGACGAGCTCACCTCCGCCTGTGTCTAGAACGTTTAAAAGTTCTGATACCACTAGGACCTGACTGCACCAGACATACGACCCTTGGGCTGCTTAACAAAGCCAAAGCACATATTAAGGTGAGAACTCCATCCCTGAGAGTTTATCAGCAAGTGCCAATATGACTATTCTTGTAACCAAACTAAGACTGTCTAGTAGCCTTAACTGCACCAAGAAGTTGAGTAGTCATGATTATCCTGCCTCAGGGGGCCCTTTACCACACCTTCCTATAGCATATGCTTTTTTACAGCATGGCTTTATTCATTTTCACATGAAAGTAAGTCCCAGTGAGTTCAGTGGGGATTTTTCCCTGCAACTGTGTATAAGATGGCAGCCTTAATTGGGTCTGTAAAGGAGGCTGGTGAGTATAAATATTGGCCTTAACACTCAGAGAGTATAGAGGCCTAAATATTACCTTTTAATTTAACAGGCAAAATCCAATGAAACAAAACAAAACAAGACAAAAACACATGGCTCCTTAAAGACTGACCATTATATTTTAATGTAAGCTTTTGTGGACATGTCCACTTTGTCAGACATTAAGAGACAGAATGAAATGGAATGAAATGTATATGAAATATCAGTTTCACATTCTAAATGTTAATTGCCTACATGCAGTAATTAGGCTTATGTTTGTTTTACAGTCCTTTTGTAAAAGCACTTCAGGAAAACAGAACACAGACACCAGGTCTAAGCAGAGATGAGCGGTGGGGTGGGGGAGAGAGAGAGAAAGAAAAGAGAAGAGGAGTGTGTGTGTGTGTGTGTGTGTGTGTGTGTGTGTGTGTGTGTGTGTGTGTGTGTGTGTGTGTGTGTGTGTGTTTTGAAGAGGCAGTAAACCTCAAAAAGGAAAGAAAGAAAGAATTTCCAATGGATTTCATTTTGTTTCATTCTGTCTCTTAATGTCTGATGAAGTGGACGTGTCCACGAAAGCTTACATTAAAATATAATGGTTAGTCTTTAAGGTGCCACATGTTCTTGTCCTTTTATTTTGTTTCTTTGGATCTTGCCTGACATACTTGAACAGGCTAACACAGCTACCTCCTCAAAACTACAACTTTTGGTTTAAAGTGTTCTTTGAAATTACAGAATGTTGTAGCTCTGTGAAATGTAATGGTGAAAACCAAGAGTTTGTCCTTTATCAGAGCCATTGAAATGTACCAGTGTTTTGTAAGACTGTGTAAGCCTCTTGGATTCAACTCATCGAAAACGTTTCTTGTCTGAAGCCCATCCATTTTAGCAGGAGAACCCTATTCAGGCATCATGTCTGAACCCTGCCACCATGTCCTCACTCCACACAGAAGTCAGCGTTCACCAATCAAAATCATTTTTTTTCCAGTGATGTGACGTGCTTATGTAATTAACATTCTCAAGTATACAGGGGATAACATACTTCTGAAATGTTGCAAAGAAAGCAATACAGTATATAAAGTTAAATTCTACAAATATTTGACAATGTCCCTTTGAAATCATTATGAAACATAGAATGCAACATAGGAAAACAGTGTTGGATAAGGGCTGCTTCTGAGTTGGACTTCTGCTCTTCACAGAGGAAAAGAAGGCAATAATGGAATTTGAATTGTGAGGGATTAAAACAAAACACGCACACAGGCCCAACCCTTGTAAAGAAGACAGGATCAGTGCATGCTCAGTCTAAGGAAGAGTTTAGGGACCTTTAACACTGCTGGACTCCTAGTCTTGTCTGTTCCATCCAGTATGGTCAGTGGTCAGCGATGCTGGGCGGTATAGTTTGATACCTCTTGAAGGCCAGAAGTTCCTTCCTATCTCTATACTGGCCTATAAAAAATGTCCTAGAGAGAGCCATATATTTTGAGCAAATGGTTCCAGGTAGTTGCTGAAGCATATGAGCTGGGCCACATGCTACAGGGAGAGGCTGCTGGTGACCAAGGGTGATTTGTATCTGTTTAAATTAAACCTGTACCTATATATCAGGAAAATGAAATGGGAAAACAAGCACAATCTCTCATAACAAAAGATGAGAAAGCCAGGCTGTTTCAGAATAGCACAGCAGGTGCCCCTGCTGTCTGCAGTTTTTCCGATTCTTGTCCTGACAGTTTCTTTCACGAAGGGTAGTGCCAGGCTCACAGGGATCAGGATGTGCTTAAACACACTGGAACAGCTCAGGCTTAGTAAGGGAGGGAACCCTGTTTGCTCAAATGGATGGCATTAGCCTGAGATGACTTTAGAGTTATGCAACATGCTGGCCATCAGGAAACCCTGTGCATTGGCCTGGTAAGATTTCCCAGCTGCGATCAAAGGAGTCTGCAGTAGATTACATAAACCACTGTTCAAACAGGGAAACTGCTTCGAAGAAATACCTAATTGAGAAGGGTCCACCAATCACTTTATTTCCAGCCTTTTTTTTTGTAAATTATCTGAATGGGTCTTCAGAGTTTCTGGATTTGGAAACTAAGATATCCACTGAAACAAATGCATCTCATGTTCATTAAACATAATGGGCAAGCCACGATTTTGTTTTCTTCATTACTCAGTAGAATCTTGATAGAGATACAAGCAGATGTGTGTGTTGGTGGGAGGATGTTATTGTCTTTGCCACTGTCAAACTGGTCTGGCTCCATCTGAAAGCACAAATTCATTCCAAGTGTTCTTAAATGAGAGGGAAAGACTTGTGTAGAAGAGCTGCTGGGGAGATTTGGAAAGCAGATAATAGTAATCGGGTTCTCCTTTGTCATGGCAGAAACTTGAAGAGGCAGACAGAAGAAGCCAGCATCAACTTGAGAACCTGGAAAGAGAGCAGAGGTTCCTCAAGCGACGACTGGAGCAGCTGCAGGGTTCTCAGGATGTAGAACGAATACGAATGGACAGTACTGGATCAACCATTTCCTCAGATCGCTCTGATTCAGAGCGAGGTTGGTATTTCTCCTGTGATTTTGACTTGACCATTGTTACATTTAAATGACAGAGTAAAATTACATTTACTTTTTTTTTTAACATTCCTTTCATACAACACTTCCTCTTTTTCACCCCTAGGTCATTTTAATTTTATTTGACTGGCCCAACAAATATGCAGGATGTTATTCATCCGACAATTTCTACTCAAACAGTGTTCATGTTTGTCATAAGATGAGGAGACTCCCAATAATACTGGATCTTGGGGTAGTTACGTACTTGTTGAAGTTGCTGCTCTGAAAACATCCCAGTTAGCACATCCCATTGTCCGTGCTATCAGGAGATTCTGGGTGCTGTGGCAGAAGAACTAGCACTCCCAACCTCTGCTTTTACCCCTTGCCCCTTGGCAACATTAGTACAGTGTCTGCTTAATATTACTTCCTGATTCTCTGAGAAGGCTCTGGCTACCCCTGAATGGACAGTTCCTTATATAATTAATGCAAAACCATTGTGTAGGGAATCCCTCTTTCCCTACTCAATACATGTGTTGAGGAAAAATACGGAAGAAGTGCCAGGGAAACTTGGAAGAGTTACTAATGGAAAGCAGCTGGACCCTCCTGAAAATTTCCATGAATAGGGCAGGACAAGTGGGTAATAAAAGCTGTTTGGAAGCACTTCCGATTCAGGTAGAGATACAGGCTTTGAAGCCCCACTGATTTTTCAGGACTGCACTGAAAGTCTGTCCCAGTGAGAAGTGTGCAGCTTTAATTTGGTTAATATTCTTCTTCATATAAATGCATTAATATGGCCACACATAATTAGGTGGATATAGAAACTTCACAAGGGTGCACCTGTAGCAGCTTGGGGTGAACTAGGTTCTTTCATTTCATGCATGATGAGTAATACTACATAAGAACAGAAATCTTAAAGAAGCACAGGGTTCAGATCCACATCTCTGGTTTTAATGAGGACTGTAGAGATCACAGTTACATGCACAGTGGAAAACTGCCACTTGGTAAATGTCATTTTTGCTTCTCCTCTAGGGAGAATCTAGCATGAATAACAGCATATGGGTGTATGGGTGTGAATAGCATCTGACATAATTGTTAGTTTCACCTCAATTTCTGTGCGCCTTAACAACCTTTAAGAATACTCAGAACTGAAGTTGTTCAAGATTTTTCTTGTTAAGGTACCTGATCATAGTTAAATTACATGCACAGTGTAAAACTGCCACCTGGTAAATATCATTTTTGCTTCTCCTCTAGGGAGGATCCTTTATTGAGTGTTAAATGGCGATCCCTGCAGCTGCCTGGTTGCAGGCTGGGATTGAATCACAATACATAACACAGTTGCTCTAGCAACTGACTACACTGGTTGCTGGTGTGTTTCTGGGCCCAGTCTAAAATGGTGGTGGTTATCTTTAAAGCCCCTAAGTAGCTTGGGACCAGTTTATTTGGAAAACCGCCTGCATCCATAGAAATCCATAGAGGCCTGGCTCATATGCCCACAGGTAAAAATCTATTCAGTTGGGGAACATAAGAGAAAGGCTTTTTCTATGGTGAATCTACCCTTATGGAATGCTCTACCTCAGGGTGTGTACATGGGCTCTGTTATAATGCAGTTGTTAACATTTTGGCCTAGTTGTGCTTTACACTGTTACAATTAATTGCATTTAATATTTTATTGTTTAAATGGGTGTGAACTGCTTTGAGGAGGCTTTGCCTTCAAAGGCCATGTAGAAACGTTTTAAACGATAACAAATAAAACACATAGGTATACTTCAGTATTTGTTGTATCTGTAAAGGGCCACAAACCACCTTTTGGAAACACTCACAAAGACATGTGTAACAGAAATGTTTTTGGAAGGAAAACGACACCAGTGTTACAGCCCTAATATAAAAAGTGAACAGTGCTGTGAATGTATGAATGACATCATTCATGCAAGGCCCTTATATTCTGTCTTTTTATAGGACATGTTACAGGTTTGTGAAACAGAATGATTAGCTTGTCCAATCAAGACAATTAAATTTAAACCTAGTCTGCTTTTATTTTAATACCCTTCTATGTTGAGATGGGATCCTTAGAGCAAATAAAGAGGCAATGTAACACCTTACCTGGAGTCATTTTAGCTGCACAGATAGCATGAATAACAGCATATGGGTGTATGGGTGTGAATAGCATCTGACATAATTGTTAGTTTCACCTCAATTTCTGTGCGCCTTAACAACCTTTAAGAATACTCAGAACTGAAGTTGTTCAAGATTTTTCTTGTTAAGGTACCTGATCATAGTAAAAAAATCAATAGATGAAGGGGACCATGGATTCAAGGATTCCTCCGCTTGCCTGCGCATCCACTACATGTCACCCCATTCAACAGAGCCACCTACCCCTTTGTGTTGTATTCTCAGGAAGCTGAAGTAGCTGCCATGAGGAGAAGGTAGAGGAGCATCCTCTTTTCTCCAGACCAGCTGTATGTGCCTAAATCTGGACCCAGCTCTTTGGATATACTCTTAGAGCAGTGAGGTCTATGTGGCAATTTCTGCTAATCTCCACCTCTATACTGGCTATGGTTGTTTTGGGTGCACACCTGCCCTTCACTGTCAATCTACTTTGATAGATTATTTCCCACTCACCAGGAGTCTGTTTATCAGATACAGTCTGACAGACTTCAGAGAATTAGAACAGGTTTCATTGTAGCAAAGATGGCCCCCATTGAGAATGGCTGCCTTAAACGCACACAAAAAAAGTGTTATTTGGCACAAGCATTCACTGGATGAAGTGGGCGGCAATCCCTCAATATTTATGTCCCATAAAACTCCTTTTTGAGTGTTTCCAACCATCTCTGGCCAGAATTCTATTACCAGTTTACACCTGCTTAAGAGAAGTTATGTAAATCTTTGTGGTAAATTGCCACTCATTAACAATCAGGTGCACATGCAGGAATGCAAGCAGCACCTCATTAATGCGTGGCAGTTTGGTGCCATAACTTACCCCTTTGCATGTGTAAATTGGTAATAGGATTCTGGCTTCTGACTCCAACAAGTACTCTGTGCTAAGCATGCATTGGTCATGAGAGCTGAAGAAGCTCTGCCCAGCATTTTGTCTCAGTCCTACCCAAGACATCCCTGTGCTCCATACGTCCCTCCATTAGTGTCCTTTTTCTTTGCAAATTTAACCTCTGGCAGCCCAGATATTTAGAATAGATCCTGTAAGTTAAGGAACTATGTTCTATTTATATTGTTACCTATTCAAGGTGTGTGATTAGATGACGTCTGTATACAGTTTGTTTAAGGTCAGCAATATATATTTTTTGGTTTGGAATAAATTATTTTGTATAGATGAAGAAACAATAACCTTTTCTTTGCAGTGGCCATAGTTTAGGAGATTGTATCACTGATGTTCAATTTAATTCAGAGCTAGGTTGCTCAATACAAATATTCTGTTTTAAGATAGCAACCGAAAGTACTAATCTAGTCCAGAACCTCTTAATTGATTTGTCTGGATGATTTGAACAATTAATTGTGCAGTAATAAACTATGCTTCTTTCTTTGTTCCACAGCACTGACTGATAATTAAATGCTCATTCAAGATAGGTTAATTCAAAATACAAATATGATTCATAAGGCTATTCCCTGCTTTCTGCCCTTGCTTGATTCACTAAGATCACAGCATAACTTCCCAACGAAACTGCAGGATGTGGCCCCAATTACCTTGCACTGTTCACTGTTTAGCCATTTAAAATGAAGTGTGAACTTGCCCTGTGACTAATTTGAGTGTCTTCCTTCTTTTTACAGAAGAAATTGAAGTGGATGTGGAAAGCACAGAGTTCTCCCATGGAGACATGGATGATATCAGCACAACCAGTACGAGTGACATTGATGACCACAGCAGCTTGCAGAGCATTGGGAGTGATGAGGGTTACTCCAGCGCTAGCGTCAAGCTCTCCTTCACTTCCTAGGCCATGGTGCTAGGGCAGTGCAGCTGGTTTCTTTGGGGCAGTTGAAGTTCATGCAGCAGAGCTAATATAAGACACAATATTTTTCGTCTCCAAACTACACCAATGACTAAGCTTGGACGGATGCAACTCTAGGATAGCTCCATGGGTTCACAGGAAGGTGGGAAACTAACTGGGAAGCCAACTGGTCTCCCCACCATCATAGACCCCAAATCCCAATGTAGTGCTGAATCCATAGCTTTTTTGAAATCTGAGAAAGCACTCCTTTTATGTATTGCTGGACTGAGGTTTGCCCCTGTGTCATGGATAGTAGTGCTCAAGAGATTATTGCATATTTTGATTATTCAGGGCATTTTGGCTACTTGGACCCTGATAATCTTCTTAGTTTGTCACAACTGCTAATAAATTACTCCCCCCCCCTTTTTAAATCCTCCCCTATCCAAGCTCAACAAACTTGTTAAGACCATTTGTGGTGCTAATAAGTTAGAGTGAGGAAAAGATTGTCCATGATCTGTTTGTAATAACCTAACTCATATGAGTTCCAGATTACAGGACAAAGTAGCCAAGGTGATAATAGTTTAATGGGTCAGCCTTTCCCAGTGAGTTTGCACAATATTACAAATGATGAAGCTCCATGTGTAGGCTTTTTAAAATTCCGTCTTTCAGTTCCCTTAAGAGAACAATGAAGGTGGACAGTTTTTGTGTACTCTCACCAGCAGAAGCTAGTCCAGTCAATGCCTTCTACCCACTGGGTTCCTCCAGCCAGCTTTGATCACTTGTTACCTAAGAAATAACAATAATAATGAGAAGCTCTGCTCATGCCCCCCCCCTTGTGAAAAGAGAGGTGCTGCAAATCTGGAAGCAATTCCCATTCAGCTCAACTTTTTCCGCTGGACATTGTTTCAAGGCAAGAGCTTGTGCCGCATGACTTAGCGCTAGAGTATTGAGCTGTTAACATACCAGCACCCAATGCAACTGCTCTCTGGATTCAGTGGCTAAAGCAGTAACTCCTTATGTAGAATGATGCTCCTGACACAAGAGAGTGAGAGACAGAAAAGCCTGTGAAAGAAGTGATGATGATGATGTGCAGGGAAGGCACAGCCTCCATTCTGAGCCACAATGACCTTTTTTTGTTTTTTGTTTTGCAAATTATTTTGATAAATGTTTGTAAAAGTTCTTTGGGTTAGAGAACCCTCCATGCGACAATGTCTTTTTAGAACTCCTAGGCATGATTCTGCAAATGTCTTTTGTAATTATTACCACCAATGGAAAGGGACCTGTTTTTTCTGCAGCTGTGCACAAAAGGAACAGGGGCTCTTCTCCTCAGGCTCGATGGCTCTTCCTTTTTGGTTTCCTTTCCGGACTCCCTGCCATAGTCCTGGGTCCATAGTTAACATAGCACGTGTCTTACGGTAACAGCCAGCCAGTCAGTTGTGATTCTCTGGTGAGAAGCCTCCCGAGAAGAACTCTTTGCTGTGGTCTTGCTGTTGACAAGATTGTATCCAATGTTTTGATCATTTTTTTTCTTTTGAGCTTTCTAACCTGCACTTTGAGGTCTTTGCTTTTCCTTTCAGCTTTTTAACTATAAGGATTCTTATTAATTGTTCCTTTACCAAGTTTAAACTTTACTCTTCCTTTTTTTTTTTAGAGACCTCATTTATGACACTTGTTTGAGACTTTTAAGTAATTTGCCTATCCCTAATTACTAAGGGAAAAAAGAGAGAGAAAAATAAGGAAAAAACACTTTATAAAACTCATAACTTATTACTGATTATGATTACTGGGTTGTTAATTTCAGTCCTGTAGATTTAATTTTATTGTTTTTAGATAGGGCTGGGCAACAAAAATTTAAAAAGACAAAATAAAAAAAAAACAAAGTAACCTCATTTAGCCGTGCAGTGGAATTGTGTTTAAATGTTGGCATATGGTTCTGCTTAATAGTAGCACTTTAACACCATTAAACATTTCTGTATCTGAAATGCACTGTGTTCTGCCATTTTGGTCACGAGACTTTAGAATACCCATGTTGTTTGTGCCTGGATTTTTTTCCTTTCAAACCTATTGGCCATGTTAATAGATGACTCTCAATGACTTTTAATGTAGATCTTGTCTCGGTACTGATATGCTGCGTGTCTGTTTAAAACCACATATGTTATTAGTTCACCCAGAGTTATTACTGTGTCATATACTGCAAGACACAACTTTAGCACCTGTTTCATGAAATAGAAGCATAATCCCACCAGGGCTATAGTATATCCATAGCTGGGGTTTTAAAACTTATCTGTTTATTAAAGCCTGGATCCAATTGTATCCATTTTGCCCCTGTGACGATGTAACATTCTTGGTTTGCTGCATGTAGTCATATCTCCCTCTAGCGGCAGGAAAAAAAACCCTGTTTTAGTAGATGGGAATGAAACCACTGGAAACTGCAAGGACATGGATCTGTACATCTGTTTATGCATATGAAATCATGCTTTTTCAGCACAGCTCTGCAGAACTATCAGAATAACTGATGAAAAGTCAAATAAACAAAATTGCAGTAGGGAATCATGTATCACAGAATCGGTGAATATAGAACTTGGCCAGGGGCAGGGAGGTGATTCAATGGCACAGTTTGTACGTAAAGGGCCCTGACTTAAAACTCCAGCAGCTCAAGCAGAAAAACTGGGGGAAACCCTAGTCTGAGATCCTGTAAAAGGTCTCTCGGAATAAACAGTACTGAGCTATACTGAAATTTTGTCTAGCTCAGTTCCTTACTGTGCGTCAAAATCATGTAAAAATGAGGGTCAGCTATGGATTAGGGTGCAATAAGAGCCACCAGTATCAGATTCTACCCCCGTTATCTCTTTGTGCAAAATCAAAAAGCCAATAGTCATAGGGTTGTGAACTACTACATTTCTCTGCAACATAACAGATAAGTATATATCTCTGAGATGAAGTCGTGTTACTATATTATTGAATGAAGTAGCGCTATTTTATTGCCATGGAGCAGGCCAACATCCTACATTGCTCCTACAAAGTATTTTCTTGGCAAAACCATGTCTTCCATTGAGCTGCCTTTTATACCTTAACTTGGTCCTATTGCTTATACTTGAGATGCTCTTTAATTGTATTTACCCCTCTACAAAAACTTGGATGCTGATTTGCAGCACAATCCTATGCATGTTTGGTTCAAAGTCTCACAACAGGACTTATTCCTAGGTAAGTATTTTCATGATTTTGCAGCTGTAGAATAAACTTAAGGCAAAGTTAACTGCTTTTTGGCTGAAGAGTAACTTTAAAAATGCAGTCAGAACCAGGGTAGGGATGAGGATAGTGTATCAGAACAACAGCAAGCAAGCTGGAAACAAAATTTTAAAATGTTCACTTCAAGAAGATAACTGAACTCCCAAGTTTGTACTCCTTGTCTCTTCAGTTATTTTAGCATCACAAATGTTTGCTCACTAAGTATACAGCAGGTATCTATGAATATATGTACGGTTGTTTTTCAGTGCTTGCTGTTTTATCTAGAACGTGAACCTAAAACCCCAGAAATGTATGAACATGTGCTTAGACTGTTGATCTAACACTGTGCCTGTTCTGTCAGCTCAGGCCTCAAGTAATTTCCCAGCCTTGCTACATTGTTTGTTTGGAGATACAGTACCAAAATGCTTTGCAGGAAGTCATTTGCCCTGCCTCTGAGATTTATCCCCTACTCCAAGTTCTCTTGTTTAATGTGCTGGAAGAGGGAAGCAGCTGTACACGCATGACTACTTTTCACTGTATGGTGTCTTGGATGAACCTGCTGGGCTACATTTTAGCCTTGCCTCGTACTCTGTGATGGGATTCTGCAAGTCTCATGACAATTCAGTTCAGGGTCTATAAGCGGGATCAAGCACAGTTAAAATGCCAGTCCATTGTGAGACCATACCTCAGGAAACTTTACCTACAAGTAAAAGCTGTATGAAAATGGCAATAGCTAAAGCCACTCTTTTTTTCATTCTACAATTTTTTTCATTCTACAAATATGCCCAGCAGACTTTATGCTGAAAACCTCCAAACAACAGACAATTAGCACAAGTTCCTACAGTTGCACAAGCTGGCTGAGAAATTACCAGAGAAGGACCAGTGAAAACAGAACCATCAATACCATACTTTCATTTAAAGGCCCACTTTTCTTCTCCATAGTCATGTCATTAAATAATCCAGAAGGACATCTGTTATCACTCAGTATAGGTGATCAAATTACATGGTACATCCTCTTTTTAAAAGATAACTTGGGTAAGGTAAGGGATCCTTTAGTAGAACTAAGGCAAAAGTTGTATATATGTGGTTAAGCAGCTTTAGGACTCATAAATACACTGAGATAACTGTGAAAGGTTGTGCATATTGAATCTATAGCATGTTATTAGCTACCACTGGTAGTGGTTTTGAGTAGTGCACTAGGCAGTACTTCCTCCGACTCCAGATACTTGTACAGTTGCCACCCTCCCTCTACTTGCAGCACAGCATATGGTAAATCCTGCCTCCCTGAAGGGAACAGAACTAAATAACATCTCAGGGCCAATTCACACGATCACTGGATGCAGGAAAAAAAAACGTGGGTCCAGGTTTAAGCAAGCATTTTAAAAATCAATAACTATTTAAGAAGTAGTTTGTACAGGACTTCCCAGTGGCTTCTATGACTGAGCCTAACACAGACAGAAATGTCACTGTTCAACTTTTCATCCATGACAGGCTATGTATGATACAGCTAACAAAGACTAGCAGGGCAGAGACCTGACTGCAGAAGACTCAAGCACGCCTGACTCTGTAATGGTTAATGGCAAAGAGCTACGTTCCATCGTTACTATAGTAACATTTATGGTGTACATGGCCCCACAGCAGAGACGAACTTAGTACATGTGAGAAATAAAGTCTGTAAAAATACAGTACATGGCCAACGCAGAGGAGCTGGGCAAAGGGAAGATCACTGTAGGCAGCCTTTTTAAAGAACAAAGGCAGAGAATGCTGGAAACTTTGCAATTGCTCCAACCTCACAAAGCAAACGAGTGTGAAGCCTTCCCTGTACTGGCTTCAGTAGGTCTAATAAGAAGGGAGATTCTTATACAATATAAAGCTCCAACTGACTTAATTAGGGCATGGATCCAGGCAGATAACCAGCTTGTTGGCTGTTTCAATCTGTTCAAATAGATTACCGTATTTTACCGTGTATACAACCCACCCAATGTATAACCCCCCTCTAATTTTGACCCTTGATGGAGGCAAAGCAGTTAATGGGCAACTGCTCCTCCACCTCCGTCTCCTGCTGCTGCTGTCTCCACTGCCCCTCCAATTACCTCCTCCAGTGCAACTGCCGGGACTCACCTCCAGCTCACGGGAGGAGGCGATCTGGTGGCGGCAGCAGGAAGAGGCACCTGAGCGCGCACGAGTGCTGGTTTCCCTCCACCTCCGCCTCTTGCCTACACCGTCAGTCCCAGTGGAGGTGGTGATCAGGTGGGTAGGGAAGGCAGCAGCAAGAGGGACCCAAGTGCGTGTGAATGCTCCTTTGCCTCTGCCTCCTGCTGCTGCTGCCTCAGGGCCACCAGAGGGGACAAGCAGTGAGCTCTGGAAGAGGCAACTGGGCAGCAGCGGCAGCAAGAGGTGCCCAAGCACACATGCACAACTGTTTCCTTCCGTATATGAAACGACACTCAATTTTTCCTCTATTTTAGGAAAAAGTGTCGTTTTATACACAGAAAAATATGGCATGCTCCATGTGAATGAAGAGCTCATCAGACAAGTGAACACTTCCTGCATGTAACATGCCTGACTCCATTATTAAATACAACAACAGAAGAGTAAATCAAATTCAGCCCCCCCACCCCCCAATATCGTTGGGTTATCTAATTGTCTGGAAACATTTCTGATAGTGTTCTTGTTGGAAGATGCTGATGTCCATGTTCAACACATGTTCAGTAACATATGTACTGATGTGTATTGAAATGTTAAAAAACCAGTTTTTCTCTGCATTAAAAACTGTCATGCTGTGTAGCTCTTGGATTTCAAAAGATCAGTCTTGCTAAACTACATTATATACAAATCTTTCTAATGTTCTATCCAGCAGAATGCAAACAATTCCAGCATGACATCTGTCTGAAAATCCCCACATTTAATTTCTCTTCTAAAACTCTATTTACTGTTTTACAAGAACAGAGTTAAATGAAACTGCAGTTTAACTTTCCTAGAGTTTAAAGTTTACAGCTGTTAGTTATGCTCCAACTTAAAAGGCAGCTATTATATTTTGATGCAAAGTAAATATGATGTAGGTCAACCAATTTCCCCTTCACTTTTTGCGTTAGGCAGTGCCCGACACCCAAACTCAGTTGTGTACTAGTCTATTTTTCTCCAGCTGTAAAAAAACTTGCCACCAAGTCTCTTTCAACTTTTATTGAATTATTTGTTTCCTTTGCAATGTGTGTACTAAAAGGGGAATCATATGCAGAGTGCTGTTTCTTCGTAGTAATACTGTACTGGTTAAGGAAAGCAATTCAAGTCTAAACTGATACATATCCTCTTGACAATATTTTCATATGTATACATAGCTCAGCATAAGCTTATATTTAAGATTTCTGCTATCATTGTTTTGTTCCCTCTGAGCTTTTCTGAATGTTGATGCAGTTACTAAATTGGTGATGTAGCCAACTACTTCTTTGAGGAACCAAAAGATGCAAAATAAAAAATTCCAACCAATCCCTGATTGATGCTCCAATTGACCAGTGCCAGTCTTTAAAATAATACTGAAATGTTGATCACAACTCTATAATGGTGCAGGGATGGTGCTGACAAAGTTGTTGAATTTTTCATCAGTGTAAACCCTTTTTTCTTTTGTTTGTGGCCATCTATATTAACTTGTTTAAAATATACAAATAAATTTTATGAAACTTTATTTCTAGTAAGGTTGTTATCTTCCTTTTTCCTGTAGTGAAAGAGGACATTCTCTATCTCTCGAGGATGTCCTACTTCTGCTACATAAAATGAACGTTTTACAGTAAGTGCCAAAGTTGTTCTCATGCCACACCATTTATGGACTGTAAAAAGCATTAAATTGCCACCAGAATGGTTACATACAACCGTACTGGTATAACTGTCCTAATACACGGTCCTCAAAAGTTCTGCAACAAACTGTTTCCATATACAATTATCACATGGAAGCTTCTGCAGGTCTGCACTTCAATAATTGCAAGCTCAATGTTCCATATAGATGAACACATCTCCTGCAGCAGCAGCAGAACAGAAGTACAAAGTGGAATAGACTCTCCAGTGCTAGACACTCTTTCAGCCCTGTGGGTTAGAGCTATGTCATATATAGGTACACATGCAAACTTGAGCTGACTTGAAAAGACAAGTTTTTAGGAAACAAAAGGACATATATGAACATAACTGGATGTTTTAACCCTCTTTAAATAGAGAACTTCATGCTATATCTAAATTTGCATTTCAAACCTGTTTCAGTTCAGCAACATCTTTTTCTCACAGAATACAGATGGCTATTCAGGAACCAAAAAGTAAAAAGCTTCCCCAAAGTTATACAAAACTGGTGGCACATTTCTTTGGATCTTATTCCCTCTTAGTGAATTCAGGTCATGTCTGTTCTTCAACAATTTTCAACACTGCTTCCTTTAAAAGAAATGTTCCCGTATCAGAAAACTACCTATCCAGGTACACAGTAGAATTCAGAGTACTGTATAGTTAATTTACTTTGAGCCAATTCAAGATTGTCTCTTGAGATCCCAGGAAGTGTCTTCACATTCATCACCAGATAAAGTAAGCTAGCCCTACAAAAACAGATGGCCATGGAACTTGCCCACCCCCAGCAACAAACTGACTTTAACTCCTCAATATGTACTTTTTATTTCCCCAGTCTCTACAACACCCATGATTTTTTGAGGACATAGCCAAGAGATTTTCAAGTTTTTATTTTAATAAAAGTTGAACATACAAAACTGAAATCAACACAGTCATAAAAATTATCTCCTCTTTTTGTTGACAGAAGAGCCTTTCTTTAGGAATGGGTTCTAACCACAACTATATATGGATTTACTCAGGTAAACTGACATTTTCCACTAATCTGTGTATCAACAAGTGCTGATGGAACCTGATCTTATTTTATTCAGAAAACAAATTACAAAAAGTAACTACAGTATAATGTACATGGGGAACAAAGTTCAGATTACTGAGCAAGGATTACTCTTGAATTATTTCGTAGGAGAAATAACTAAAGCCAGTCTTTTTCATTAACTTAACACCATATTTTACAAAAATAATTATCTACATTGTATACAGGGCTATACATTGACTTTTTGCTTTAAACACATTTCAAGATTAAGACATGGCACTATGACCCTAAGCAATAGCTATGAACAAAGGGAAGCAACTGCATCAACAAGATCTAAAAAAGGCCAACACTTTTACACCTGGCTCCCAAATAAAATCAAAGTGGGGGCAAGCACTACTAATGTAACTAAAATCAGGCATTTTTAGGAAGGAACCTCCTGCTGTAGTTAAACAGCTGAATTTCATCAGTAAGACAAATACACCAAATATATTTCCCATGAATACAAGTACACTTGGAGTACATTTGACTCTCCCAATATTTAAAGTGCTAATCTCTAATGGAAAGTAGCTGAATAATGTTTAATCTGATCATACAGTGGGATTCAGCACAGAGGACCACAAAGAAACTTTCCAACCTGCCACTAGAAAGCGTTCTTTTACCCCGTACAATCTCACACCTTTCTCTGGGGCTGGGAAAAGGCTGGCAGCAGCTCCAAAATCTTGTGTGGAATTCAAAGAGTATGCAAGATAGCCAAGAATCCTACAGCCTTCCTCCATGCTCAGAAAAGAGGAAGGAAAATCTGCTTGCTTGGAGCCTTGGGAAGCTTCAAGACACACTGCTGCTTCCAGACTTGCTGTGTTTCCTTCCTCCTTCTTCCAGCCTGTCATAAGGGGTGCAGTAATCTTTCAGACCTTGCACTGATTTGTAAGGAACAGCAAAGCAATTATTTCATTTTGCTACTTTCCAAGTCTCTCTGAAATTCAGTATGACAAAGATAAACCCTCCCTCTGTTTCTATGAAGCCTGGAGCTGAGAAAGGAAACACTCCATAGTACACTGAACCTGCCAATACCTTTGTAGTTTAGACGACTTCATAGCAAACACCAAATTCTTGCCTTCGGGGAGCACTTGATGGTAAGCATGTCCCATCAATTTTTTACACACAGCCTTATTTTCCCCCCACTAAAAGGAAAGTACCATTAGCATATTCTGGCCAGCAAGCAGTGATCTTAAAACTCCAACTTTCCTGTTTCTGAATCAGATTTAACTGGAGAGAGCATGGGCCAGATTAATTAAAACTGTTTATGCCAAAAATAAAATAAAAATTAGTCATGGGCAGTACTCAGTGTTTGACCTTACATTGAAACTGGGATGAAATCAAGCTGCACAGAAATAAAAGAGTGCTTAACATTAGTCTATGCAAGAAGATTAAGAGGACTACATTTATTATATAAGAGGGAGCACAACAGCTAAAACAACTATTTTGTTACACAACTGTTTGCTTGATGGCATTTCCAGTCAATTTTTGGATACTCTAGAGGCTTCCTGACACTCCAAAGGGCATTTTCTCATCAGACTTGACTTTTACATATTTATGCGAATTAATTGTGAGGACAGCAAAGGGGGATCATGTGAATATCTCCATTTTTACTTAAGGCTTGTAGAAGCAGAGGCCAATTGAAGGCAACAACCATTTTACTACGTGCCAATAGTTTACTTTAGAAAAATATAACAATAAAAAGATGAATGTAGAGCCCTGCAGAGGTGATGCTTAGTCATTTCTCTCCCTCTATCACTGGGGCATCAAATGTCTGACATTGTACTTGGATGTATCCTGGTACTGCGTCATGGGTTTGTCTGCAATTCCACATGTCCCAACTCCGACTTTCCCTGTTACACTTTCAGGAGAAGCAAAGATGCTTCGCTTTACCTGTGGAATGAATTAAAAACATCACGTGTACAAATATTTAAATTTCAGCAAGTCACAATGCACTGATACAAAAATTTCTTATTTAAATTACTTAGTTAAAAAGCAAAATGTTGCAGAATTCTATTAAGAATGAGACAGGATAGTTGTTTTCTCATAAAAAAAAACTTATATTTCCTTGATCTTTGAGAATAGTACAGCTAATGCCACCAATATCAACTTATCTATCTACCTAAAGCATCCAAATAATTTTGCATCAGTTGCATTATTCTGGCAATGAGCAAGCACCATACTGCAAACTACTATTTGAAGGTGGTCTGGGGATGAATGTGAGTGAAATATAATCCAAAGATATTGCAAGTGGGTGGGTGGGAAGTATGAATGGAGCTGACCTTCAATGGAACTGCATTCTCCCTGGGGGACCAAGTCTGGTGTCTCAGAGCTCTCTTGGACTTTGCAGTAACTGGGGAAGCTGAGGTGACCAAAGCAGCCAGCTAGGCCTTCCCCATGTTAGCGTAGTGCGCCAGTTGCGGCACTACCTAGGGAGAATGGATGCTTCAGTTAAGCATATTCTTGTGCCATATGCACTGGATTATGTAATAACATTCTACATTAGGCTGCTTTTAATTTTAAAGCATTGATTGGTAAAAAGTCTGCTTAGATACTGGAATGTATTACGTGACTGGAGAGAGAAAGAGACTATAAAGTGGAATGTTGAACTATGTCTCAGTACACCCCAAAACTCAGCCCTGGAAATGCACTGAGGAGTATCAATGGCAAACCACTTCTTGAACATCTCAGATAACCTGGAAACCCTATTGGAGTAACCTACATCAGAAAGGACTTAATGGCACAAAACAAATCAGGTGATTGGATGGTGACACCTAGATACACTGTTTGCCAGTGCTGCCAGGCCCAATTTGATACGCTGAGATTGACATTATAAGCCTCAAAAGGGTTGCGTCCAAATAAGTGAAAGGATTTTTTTTTCCTGTCTCAACTGGCCTGCACTTTGAAATCCAGCACCAAGAAGTCAACATCTGTACCTGCCTATAGGAGTAATTAATGTAGGCACAAGGAACAGGGCCTGGCATGAACCTCCCACTTGTAGAACTGTGTTCACTCAGTTTCCCAGACACCATATACAGATTTACCTGTTAAATACTGGCTCTTAATTGAATTAGAACTCTACCAGGACTACTGTACATATGGTGCTGTTCCATTTAAATTGGTGATTTTTATCATTGCTCTTAATGTTGCTGTGTTTCAGTTTTAAACTTTATTCTGTATCAAATTGGGTTTAAAAGACATTTGATATAAGTCTTTTAAATTAATATATCCCAAGCTTTACCATCATGAACTTTCAACTTTATTACTACTAGCACGTTCTTCTTCCTAAAAGCAAATGACTGTTTACATAAATCATTTTGTATATGGTATAATTTGTATGCCTTCAGCACATTTATGTCAGTGGAGCTGTACACTTCCACATCTCTTTTACAGCAATAAATTCATACTTGCAAGAGAGTAAGAGTCACAAACCTGGCCTTTTTTGTTTTTTGAGTATGCCCTGTTGTTGAACTGTTGCCATTTGACTTTCTGATCTTCTCGCTCCTGCTCTAGTTCTTTGATTCGCTGGGCCTTTTTCAAAGCTTTCTTCTTTTTATATTCTCGTTGCTGAGCAATCATTTCCTTCCTTTAAAAAAAGGTGGTGTTAGCATCAACAATTGCTTACATGTCTAAGTTGCACTGGCCACGTGACCACAGAAAAACTGTCTATGGACAAACGCTGGCTCAAAGGCTTAGAAAGAGGGATGAGCACCACCCCCTAGAGTCAGACTCGACTGGAAAATTTGTCAAGGGGAACCTGCTTACATGTCTTAACACCATGCATCTCCTTTGCTTTAAATTCCTTTTTATTCTCAGAACAAGTAAACAAAAGCAAAGCTGACCAGGATCATCTCACCTTGAACCTTGGCCTATGTGAATATAAACTATAAGGACAATGTGGCTTCAGCTGTCCAGACTCATTTCATTTTCCAGGTGTAAAAAGTACTGTCATTCCAAGTTTCAATCAAGCACAGCAATCTTCCTTTCATGTACTACTAAGAACAAAGTACTACAAAAAGTCTACCTAGACTTTTGCTAAACTCTGAGTAATTCTAAGTCTGCTAAGAATTTGTTCCAGGAGGAGTTTACTACTTTACAAGCCTGAAGCACTTGAGAAAGTACTGCAGTAACTGAGCCTAATCATTATTGCCATGATGCTCACCAAGCTTTACATTTAAGGGCAAAGTATGGCACACACTGTCATTATAATTTAAATCTACTGCTATGTGTTTGTAGTAGCAGTTCAGTCCCGAGATGGATAAAATGAAAGTAGATGGAATTCTGAAGTCTGGAAAACCTGGGCAGCCAGGTTTATATTCTAGCCAAATCCTAAATAGAAGAAAACAAAACAGGCAGTCTGTATCACCTCTTCAACAGTAAGATATCTCTGTCCTGCATAAAATATCTCTCAATAAATACAGGTCTGTAAGACTTTCATTGAGGTAGAATCACTTTTGTGGGAGATAATCTGTCAGCAGTGCAAGCTAAGTACATTTTCTTTACTGCATTACCACACCCTAAACACTGGAAATTAATTTCAGCCACTTACTTGGACATGGGTTTGTTGCCACTGTCTTCCTTTGCTTTCCTTCCCTCTTCCACAGGTTTCAGATTCAGCAGGGGTGTAACTTCAGCATTCCCATATCCCAAAAAGGTGACTGCAGCGGTACCATTTTCTTCATCTATCTCTTCAATTTCAGCCTCATAACACCTGTAAAGATATCATGGCTGTAAGCATGTGAGTAAAGGTTTAAGACTCAACCCTACAAAACTTGCAATTATTAATATTAAACTTCAGGGAAATTCTGTTCTGTACAGAAGTAGCATTTCAAGTTAGAATCAGTAATGAATTTTATTTGATTCCAGAATCAATTATCAATGATCCCACAGAGTTATGATACCAATCACTAGCAATTTTAAGGCCCACGAAATAATTAACAAATGTGTTTGAAATAAAATGTTGATTCTGTATCTTCTATTACTTAAGCACAGATGAAAACACTTTCAAGATCTAATATTTAACTAGATTGAAGTTTTTAGTCTTTCTCTGTGAGAAACAATGTAGCTTTCTGAATCATGAGGATTTATTTTCATTGTTTCAATTTTCACCAAGTTTTTTCAACAACCATCATTCAGCCTGCTATCCTATAAACACCTAGCTAGGAGTAAGCCTAAATGACTTAAGTGGGAATCTTTGCGGAGTAGACATGGACAGAATTCTTAAATTAGTTTGACAGCTGTGTCACTGCCCACAAATAACTTGCTCCTAAAAGGAAGCAATTAATTACTAAGAATGTAAGAAAACACTAAAAATCTAACACAGAGACATTAATACAGAGATCAACAAAGTAATTATTTACTTTTTTTGATCACATCATTTGAGATTCACAGTTGAGTATGCTGGAAGTAACCAAAGGCAGCTTAAAACACATTCATGTGTGTTTTGAAGTGGTATATCTGCATGCAGGCATTCCTGAGGCCTAGATGAGAAAAATAGAGGCAAGCGCAAGGGAGAGAGATGATGCCCTTCCACTTCATACCCCAAATCATCCAAGGTGAGGGAGGACATGCACATTTCCCATGTGTTGATACAGAAAATTTCTGACAGCAATGGCTGTTCAAACGCATGAGGAGTAATTATGCTGCTGGACACTTTTGCTTCTGCCCAACCAGCACAAGACACCTTGCAAATTCACTAGGGGAAGGCTACTGCCTTTCATGCTGAAGCAGTGAACACCCAAATCCATCATGCTGAATCAGGGGAAGAACTGAGATCAGAGTCAGCTTGCTCATCTGGCATATCACTTCAAAGTTCAGCTCCCTCTCCACAACAGCATCTCTAAACTCAGTTCCTTACCCCCCAACAGCAGTATTTGAGGAAGACAGAAACACCCCCTTTGCCTCCAGAAAGGGAAATGTGGGTTCACAGTATGAGCTTAATGAATATAGGCCCAGTTCCCTCTCCACAATGGATGATCTATATGGAAAGAGATGGTTCAGTTTTCCCTTTATCCCCGAACAGAGGGATTCAACTTAAGAGAAAGCTTCATATGTAGTACTGATTCTCAAACTGTGGGACAAGCCCTGCAGAGAGAGGCAAAACATACCAGAGAACCTAAACTGCTCTTTCTCTTATAACATCACTCTTGGGTTTAGAGTTTCAACTAGATTCTCCCAACATAGCAGAAGTCTTCTATATGAATACAAAAGTGAGGATATTTTAATTTTTGAACCTTTTTCAAAAATGTGCCACGAAGCTGATCCTAACTTACTGCAAATCTTCCACGTGTTTCTTAGGCATTAAGTAATCAGAAGTGGTAACCACTCCCTTCTTCTGAGAGTGCTCTAGTACTGTGCAGCTCACCCAAAGTTATACAGGCTGGCTCTTCTCCTAAAAAGCACAGTGGGGAACAGAACTCTTGACCCCCAGGTTCACAGCCAGGTACTCCATCTCAATGAGCTATTCAGCCAGCAACCTTCAGCATACTTCGAAGAAATCTCTAGATTTCTTGCAGACGTCCTCAAACATCTTTCTGTGCAACCTTAACTATTTCCTTTTACTCTGAGCCCCAGCTTTTTGGGAAATGACATTCTGAACAATATGGGTTGAAATGTGCATGTAACAGTTCAGCTATTGCAGACTGGATCTGCATAAAGATTTTTGAAGATATTAATGGCTATCCTATATTCTACAGTACTCACTGTAAACACATCAACAGAGCTCATTCCCAAGTAAGATACTTTAGTTCAAAATGCATGTTTTATACCTATAAAACTCCTTAAATTATTATATTTGCAAAGCTGGTCCTCACTGGGGTAGAGGTGAGTAGAGCATAAACTAAAGGGAAATCTCTTACCATGGAACTGTATAATTTCATGATAACTGTTACAGAAGTTTGTTTTCTACACTTACTGTCCATCTTCACTCCATATTGCCATACATCTGTCTCCAACCTTCCAAGTGTGACTGGGGAGAGCAGAAGCATTACTGTCAGAACTTGCAAGAGCTTCAGAAGGTTGTGTTGAAAGGAGGTCTTTGGTTAATTCTATAACTTCCTGTGTAATGGAACAAATAGGACAAGTCTTCAACACAACTCCTTGTTACTGAAGCGTATTAGACCAAAAGGCACATTTACATTTTTCCTTACAACATACCGTGTTCATTTGAGTATGTGTCTTATTCAGGTCCTGAACTTGATATGGGAAGCACAATATCTCAGCCCATGCTACACAGTGGGAATGATTTAAAAAAAAATCCAGACTTGCACAATTCTTCCATCTGCTCCCCCCACAATGAATTACAATGTTTATGTTTGTGCAGGAGGAATGTATAACCCAATAGTGCAAAGGAAAACATTATTTTAAGGTAAAAACTAAAATACTGGCAGGAAAGTGCTGCAGTGGTAGTAGGTATATGTGCTGGTGTTTCTCATGTTCTGTGCTCAGCCTGCTTCAATTACGCAAGGATGAATGAAACCCTTAAAAATATTTACAAAACACTACATTTATGTGAGAGAAAAATGTGCCCACAATTAATAATGTCATTCCCACACCCACACTTCAGAAACCCATCAATGTGTATACTGGCTAGTGGGTGCTAAGAAGTGTAGATTTACACTTCTTAGTAAATCTGTTTTAGCTTTTGAATACAGTGGTGCCTCACGTTATGTATTTTACCACAATTGTGCAGATGTGAGGGAAAGGATACCATGTCCAGAACAGGAAGATTAGCCTGACCACAGGTACATATACATGAGTATTCAAAACATTACAACTTACCACTTTGATCTGTCATTTATCAAAGTGACCTCCCTCCTTTATTGCTTTCTTTCTCCCTGCACATCTTGTCATTTTAATCTGTAAGCCCAAGGGACAGACCTCTGTCTTGTTTGCATTTAGTATACTGCTTGCTACCAGAATATTATGTGATTTGTTTAGGAAACAGCATTTGTCTAGGAAGCAGCAAAAAACTAGGATAGCCAAACATGAACAAGAAAGGGAACAATATAAAGGCATGTGCACCTTTCTTGCTTGATGTGACACATTGATCTTCTGTCCTTATATTCTGGCAGCTGCATGGCTGCCTTTAAATGCAGAAATGTCAAAGAAAATATGAACAAGGAACAAACATGGAAAAATACACTCATAACTATCTGAAAATTGTACCATAAAGAACAAAGAGACAGATTAACTGATGTCCCTGGTTAAGTAGTAGTCTGAATGTACATATGGCAGTGATTCTGTTATATTTTATAATCTTTCTTCCAAAAATGTCTCTCAGATGAATACACATATGTAGCAATCAGAATCTAGGCACATTATAGCACTTTGTGTCAATTTTCATTTTTCCTTTACAAAGTTCTAAGGAATTTGGCCTCTGAAAATCCATTTTGTGCTATCTTACCATCCCCGTGATCATCGCAAAGCAAATTTTCCCCATAGGGGACATCGCAAAGCGATCGCTCTTGCAATGGTAAAAAGTCCACCGTAAAACGGAGCGATCGCTATGTGAGGCACCACTGTATTGAGAAACTGTTTTCAGTATAAAATAGATAATTGACATATACATACTGTACACCTGAAGAAAATGATAGCATTCTGTATAAAATACACAGAAACAGGGGTCCATTTGTTTCCCATGTTATGTATTTTACCACAATTGCGCAGATGTGAGGGAAAGGATACCATGTCCAGAACAGGAAGATTAGCCTGACCACAGGTACATATACATGAGTATTCAAAACATTACAACTTACCACTTTGATCTGTCATTTATCAAACTGACCTCCCTCCTTTATTGCTATTCTTTCTCCCTGCACATCTTGTCATTTTAATCTGTAAGCCCAAGGGACAGACCTCTGTCTTGTTTGCATTTAGTATACTGCTTGCTACCAGAATATTATGTGATTTGTTTAGGAAACAGCATTTGTCTAGGAAGCAGCAAAAAACTAGGATAGCCAAACATGAACAAGAAAGGGAACAATAGAAAGGCATGTGCACCTTTCTTGCTTGATGTGACACAGTGATCTTCTGTCCTTATATTCTGGCAGCTGCATGGCTGCCTTTAAATGCAGAAATGTCAAAGAAAATATGAACAAGGAACAAACATGGAAAAATACACTCATAACTATCTGCAAATTGTACCATTAAGAACAAAGAGACAGATTAACTGATGTCCCTGGTTAAGTAGTAGTCTGAATGTACATATGGCAGTGATTCTGTTATATTTTATAATACTTCTTTCTTCCAAAAATGTCTCTCAGATGAATACACATATGTAGCAATCAGAATCTAGGCACATTATAGCACTTTGTGTCAATTTTCATTTTTCCTTTACAAAGTTCTAAGGAATTTGGCCTCTGAAAATCCATTTTGTGCTATCTTACCATGACATTAAATTGAAAATAACTCAAATGGTATAGTACTGATACAACTATGCTAACACTTTAAGTAATAATATCCTACCCTTGGATTAATTTTTAAAAAAACTAATATTGTTCAAATCTAACTAAAGAGCCTTCCCTGCCCTGCCCCAGAAAACAGACCCTCATAAACACATGACTATTTTGAATGGCATACAGAATAAAAATAATTTAAAATCCTACCTCTTCTCTAGCAGCCAAGGAAATTGCCCAGTGTTCATGGATAACTGAACATGTTTGATTGCATATTTACATTTTTTTATCTGCTTATTCAGAGTCTTTCCATACCTAGGTAACACATTTTTAATTCTGATCTTTACAGCAGCCATGACAGCTAATGCTTATCATTGGGGCATAAAAAAAATACACAGAAGTCAGTGAAAGCTGCACTTCTAGGGAAATCCTTAAACCCCTGTATCTCACTCTGCCTCTTCTCAAAATGCAAAAGTTCTGCCTGCTTAAGAAAAGCAACGCACCTATCATTTGTCAGAAATATAGTCTAGGAATAACTCCATTCTCCTATGCCTATCAATGCCATCACCACACACTGTTTAGATGATGCTATCCTAGAACAATGCTTTTCAACTGCTGATACCTGTGACAAATGGTATACTGTGAAGAGTTACCAGTAAATAGAGTGCTGTATTTCAGAGATTAAAGGGGGAAATGGTGTTGAAGGAGCAGTACAAAACCAACCCTTATGAACAGCATTATACAAAAGAAAATAGTAAAGATTTCTCTCTAGACTTGCCAATAGAAATGGGTACAAATCGCTGGTTCGGCCCAGTTTGTTTACCATTGCCAGCATGGTACAGTGCCCTGCTCACTCTGGCAAGTGCCCACTTGGAAGCAGTGTCCTGGCTCCCCTGCCCTGCCTCCTCCAGGCAATGTCTCTGACTGGGCAACACACTGGAGGGGGCAGAGCGCCAAACCACCAAACAATTATTATTGTGGTAAAAAAAAAACATGTCAAACCACCAGACAGGGAGTTCGTGTCCATCTCTACTTACAAACATTAATAAGGTAAACTGAATATTCTAATAGAAGATAACTTTAAAAGATTACCCAAGTAACTGTGCTGCAGATACTGTATTTTTTGCTCCATAAGACATACTTTTTCTCCCCCAAATAGTGGGGGAGAAAATATGTGCATCTTATGGAGCAAATACAGTAAAAAAAGGGTTCAGCCACCAACAAATGGTGGGAGGCCTCTGAACTGGCACCAGAGGCTGCTTGCTGCAGCAGCCACATTGGACCTCACCATTCTGCCATCTGCACTGCTGGCTTTCCAGGATCTGCTTCCTGGAGCCCAGCTGGAAAATCAGCAGGGCCAACAGGCCTATAGCAGCAAATTTAAATGGTAGAATGCAATAAAAATAGCCAAGGAACAAAGGGAAAATAGTGATTCTAAAAAGATCAGGGGAAACCATAAACACAATCCCTCCATTACCACAAACTAGGCAGTTAATTTTCCCACATTTGGGGAAATCACAGGCATCAGCACATCCAAAGTGCAATAGATGAGCCTTACCCTGGGAAAACCACTTTTATGATCATGGCATCTCCCCTGCCTGGTATGAGTTGGAATGGCCCCTGCAACTCCTGCCCCTTTCTGTGCCCTGTCCCCCAAAGGCATGGTGACCCCCCTGGCTGCACCTCCTGATCAGAACAGGGCTGCACAGCCCAAGTCCCACCAGAGGCCAAGAGAGCTCCTCAGTGTTTTGGGGTGCCCCACAGGACCCCCCCCCATCAGGGGCTGGGTGTTCCTCGCACAATCCTCCAGTGCACAGATATTAGCATACTAACAGCTGTTAAATATATAATTCCACTATTTATCCTCCACACAACTAAAAGGGACCTCTCAATGCAGTGCCAAATCAGACAAACCATTTATAACTTAATATAGGCTTCAACTGTAGCTGGGCAGAGTTGCACAACAATCTCATCTGTCATTGAGACATTTCTATAAGCATGGGGAGGGGTGGATGAAAGGAAATGTAAAATATAGGTAGAGTGGTATAGGTCTTATCACTGGCTAATAATGGTCTATATGTACTTGACTAAAATTTATGGTACACAAATTTATGGTACATAAACTAGAGTACACAAACCTTTAAGTCTCTCCATTTGTTAATGACTGGTAATGGTTCTTAATGCCACTGTTGACCGCTGTTCACTTTACATGGTTCAAATGTTATTCTGTTATAGTTTATTAAATATTTTATTACACCATTTGGTTCAGAATATATTTTCCCTGTTTTCCTTCTCTAAAAATTAGGTGCGTCTTAAGGTCAAGTGCGTCTATGGAGCAAAAAATACATTTTATTTATATTTATACATTAATACTAGCCTGTTTTCCCGAAAATAAGCCCTAGTATTTTTCAGGATGCTCGTAATATAAGCCCTACCCCAAAAATAAGCCCCAGTTAAGTGAAACCCCTCCTCCACCATCGTGCAGAAACCAGGAAATGACATGACTGTATTTGAATAAACGTAGTTGTACATGAAAAAATAAAACATCCCCTGAAAATAAGCCCTAATGTGTTTTTCGGTGCAAAATTAATATAAGACCTTGTCTTATTCTTGGGGAAACACGGTAGAATTTACAAAAACTGCAAGTTGCAAGCATCATTTAAGATGTATTCTCCATTTTCTTTTACATAAGAGACTGCCACTTTTAAGATAAACATAATACAACATAAACATGCAAACTCTTTTAAAAATATGCTTTTTGCTTCACATAAATGTTTATTCTGCATACATTCTGCAAACTCTTATAGCAAATATTTCTTTACATAGTCCTTTACAAACAATTTTATTACCCTAGGAAAAGTAATTGTTGTACGTTAACTTTAAACATAAATACAACACTCAGCATAACAGCATAGTTCTTGTTAATACCTTCAAAGTAAATACTTTGCCAGTCTTGAGAATATAGAAAATCTTTGTGAAAATATTTAATCTCCAAAAGTGTATCCTTTTCCATTCTTACCTGTAAATCTTTCTTGAGTTTTAGCAAATCTTCATTATCTCCATTTCCCGTTAAAGCAGCTTCAACTTGCTGCAGCTGAGCTTTATAGCTAGCTAGCTGCTTTGCAAGGTCCTCTGACATCTATATGAGGGGAAAAGTGATTCTATAGTCAGAAGTAACATATGTGGGAACCTCTCTTGTGAGAGCAAAATGTCACTTCACTTAAATGGTTAATTTATCTGCCTATTAAAAATCTGCCACTGATCTCTAGTACTTCCTCATTTCAACTCACTGTAAAGTATCAAAATATATGGTGATTTCAATGCACTACAGTACCAATGAACACCAAAATAACCTTCAAAGAATTGACTAAAATTAGGTAAACCCATAACTATTGAGGTCTTCTGTAGGTCATTCCCAGTGTTCGTATCTCTGTTAATTTAAACAAAAAAATTGAAAGACTTGTTCCCTTCTTTTTATACAGCATTTACATTTCATCTCACTGAAGGAGCCATCTCTAACACAATGGTCTTCTACTTCCAAAATATTTTTTTAAAAAAATATTAGGTCAACTTGTTCTTTCCCCATTTATCATAAATACAGCCATCATACTTTGGCATATTTTACTCTTTTCACCAACAATAAAGAAATTCAAACCGTCGGTAGCAAAGAGGCTGCTTCTTTGTAGCTCTTTTGTCCCAATGGTTAGAGCAGGGGGTCAGGGAACTTTTTTACTTCTGCCGAGCAGGAGGAGGAAGGAGAGGCAGGGGCAGCTCTGGATCGCTGCCGGGCACAGGAAGCCAGTGCGCTCCCTGCCCATCCCTGGTGTGGGTCTACTCATGAGTAAGTGCCGCAGAATGCACAGATGTACTTGTGAGTAAGCGCTGCCAAAGGTGCTGGGCTGGGCTGACAGTGCTTTGGAAACCCGGGAAGCCTCCGCAGAGGCAGCTGGAGCCCTGGCCCAGTAGCGGCGGCGGAGGCCAGGCCCTGCAGGACCGATAGAGATAAGATGCTGCTTTTTCCTTTTTAAAAAGTTGTTTTGGAGGGTAGGTTTGGGCTGGGGGGTTTACGTTTCTGTGTGTGGTTCTTTTTTTGGATTTATTTTTTTTTGCAGCGCCAGCATGGGACTTGCTTCAATGTTTATTTTTGGATCTGTTTGCTTTTTGTTTTTTTGCAGTCCCAGAGTGGGACTTGCAGTAGTTTATTTTTTAAAAAAAAAAATTGTATTTTTTTCTTCAGCCGGAACAGATTAATCGGTTTTCAATGCATTCCTATGGGAAATGGTGCTTTAACTTACAAACGTTTTGACTTATGGCCACCGTTCCAATACGGATTAAGTTCGTAAGTCAAGGCACCACTGCACTTGGCAAGACCCATTAAGCACCAGCCAGAATTTCTAAATCATTTTGAAGGAAAGATTCATGCAAACAATATGAACATTAACTAGCCTCTTCTCCATGGTTCATCTTTTCATTGCTTTGTTAGTATCAAGATAGAATCATATTACAGTGGTGCCTCGACTTACCAACATCCCTAGTTGCAAAAATTTTGAGATATGAAAAGCTCCAGCTGCAAAATATTGCTTCGTCTTGCGGCCGGAGCTTCAAGTTACGAAAGAAAATAAACAAGGGGGAGGCAGGGAAAGCGTGTAATTTGAAATTTCTGTTAACCGTTGGCCAGCGAAGAGGCCGCTTGTCTGCTACCTCCCTCGCCCCAGCGGTCAGAGAGTGTATAGGGAGAGAGTCTTCAGGCTGCCTGGTACTGTACTGCCTGGTACTGTACTGCATGGACTGTATTTTTTTGATTTTTTTAATTTTTGATTTTTGGAGTTGCCTTTTTTAAAAAAAAAAAACAGAGACTGCCTGTTCTGAGTTTTTTTGCAGCTTGGTGTGGGGTAGGGCTAGGTGGGGGTTATGTTTCTGTGCTCTGATGGGTCTTGCAGTGTGGATTTAAAATGTGAAAAGTAGATTGTAATATTAAATTAAAATTAAATGTGAAAATTAGACTATAATTTAAAAATGTAATATTTATTTATTTATTTTGCATTTTGTGGCTCCTGGGGTTTGTGTACTGTGTTGTTTTAAAATGTGTGGGTTTAAAATGTGGCTTCAAAGTCTTTTTTTCTTTGGGGATCTGTTTGCTATAATAATGGTTGCTGGTTGTTGATGCAGGCAGGCTGTAAAATGCAGTTTAGACTCTCTTTTTGTGATTAGGAGTTCAGTGCTGGAATTCTGTGGCTTTTACGGTTTGTGTACTGTGATCTGTCTTTTGTTTTAAAATGTGTGTTTAAAATGTGGCTTCAAGGTCTGTCTCTTTTAAAATCAGAAAATATTCTGTGAGGGGCTGTGGTGCTTGTTGATGCAGCCAGGCTTTAAAATGGAGTTTACTGTAGACTCAAAGGTGCTTGGTTTTGTTTAAAAGGTGCTTGGGTTAAAAAGGTGTTCTGGTTAGAAGGTGTTCCCTCCTCCCCTCCCTCCTTTCCTGCCCTTTTTTTGACCTAAGTTCATCTTAGGTGAAAAGAAAAAAATTCTCCCCCTAGTGGTAGATATGGATTAACTGGCTTTGCATTAGTTGCTATGGGAACTAATGCTTCAACTTAAGAACGGCACCTCTACGTAAAACAGCCAGAATTGATTAAATGGATTTCAATGCATTCCTATGGGAAATGGTGATTCGACTTACGAAAATTTCGAGATGCAGCCACCGTTCCAACAAAGATTAATTTCATAAGTCGAGGCACCACTGTAATTAAGCAGATAAAAAAAGAAATCTCATCATGTAAATAGGGCCGGTCACTGACACAGATAATCTACTGACATACTGTAGGTCCTGATCATGATCCAATTGTCATCCAAATTTATTAGGCTCAAGTTAAGATTCACAAAAATAAATCCAGTTTTAGTCCGATCAGATCCACTAAAATCAGTCAGAGCTATAGTAATTCCTATCTCATAAGTTCCATTTGTCTCTACAGGTTTGTTTTATCTGTGATTACTACTGAATTTAGTCCACAACATGATCTACCTGCTTCAATTCACACTGAACTCATCTTCAAGTTGGTATTTTTTAAAAAGAAAGGAATGAAGCTAAAAGAAAGCAAGCTGTAGTTTGTTCCCATCTCAAGGAATTACTAGAAAAAGGCTCTGCAAACAGATTACCGTATTTTTTGCACCATAAGACGCACTTTTCCCCCACAAAACAGGGGGGGCGGGAAGTCTGTGCGTCTTATGGAGCGAAGAAAACAGATTATAGTTTCCTGTTTTCTTCTCCTAAAAAATTGGTGCGTCTTATGGAAAGGTGCGTCTTATGGAGCGAAAAATACGGTAAATTAGACTCAGGCCTACTTGTTGATTGTTTTGTTATGACTGCTATGGAAAGATCTGATTAAGGGCAGGTTCTATTCAATATTTGCATGTATGTGGAACTCCAACTATCAAAGTTGCAGTACTGATCCAATGCAGTCCCATTTACAAGTGACCAGGCGCACAACCTTATCAGACTATCACAGACGTTTCTACAACCACAGAGCCTCACATGTGAATATGGAACAGGAGACACTGGCTAATAATTGATACTACCTATTTTGATAATTAAGCAGTTATGATGCTGGGTTGTTCTTACCATAACCAAAAATTATTACACTGCTGTATTGACATGCATTTTTGATTTTATATCACTGCTCTTGTGTCATGAGATGCTCTGAGCACAATACATAGAAAAATAGCATATATATTTAAAATTTATGATTGGCTACTTTTTCCTGTATTACCCAGTAAAGAAACAGGAACTACTGAATGAAATAAATATTAGGACCTGAATTCAGCTGGGCTTCACAGAATGGAGATCCTCTATACATATAGTGCTCTGCCCAATCTGCAGATTGCAGTGGCATGAGCTGGTGATTGCTCAGTTTCAATCAATGGTGTATTTTGCTTGCTTAAGTGGTGATGAATATCTCCATGTGCAAATAGTGGAAAAATAGACTACAGTGGTGCCTCGCACAACGAGTGCCTCACAAAACGATAAATTCACACAACGATGGCTTTTTCTGAAAAATTTGCCGCCTCACACAACAATGCTTCCTATAGGGAATTTTCGCACAACGATTTTGGGACCATGCTTCACAGAACGATTGCATTTTGGGTCCCCTGTTTCACTTAACGATGTTTTAAAAAAAGAGCGGGGAAGGTGGCTGTTTGGCAATGCTAATTTGTTCTTCTAACTGCCTGTACCCAGGATGCATTGCGCATGTGCAGGGAAGGGATAAAAAACCTTCCCCATGCATCCTGGGTTTACATTCCCACATGCAGTTCAAAGGTTGGCTTTGCCTCTTTGCTCTGTCTTGTGGGTGCTTTCTGTGCTGGAGAACTTTCAAAGGTAAGCTTGCATTTCTTCTCCTGGGTGTGTGGTGGGTTTTACAGTGTATCTGTACTGTACTGTATTGCAAAACTCTGATGATTTTTGCGAGGGGGAATTTGGGTCTGTCTGACTTTGGTTATGGGGGTTTTTTCATTGGGGAAATTGCAGGGGTTTTTTTGGCTGGCGGTTTCTGTGGATTTGTGTGGGATTTGAATGCCCAAGTTCAAACCTGATTTTAAAATTTTTTTCCCTGCATGCTGCTTCTTGGTTGGGGGGGGGGGTTATGCTTTGTGGGTGTGGAATTCTGCAAGGAAATGGTTGCTGTTCTCTTGTGGCCATGCCTGCCTCTGGGATTTGGATGCCCAAGTTCAAATCTGATTTAAAAAATTTTTTAACTGCTGCCATGCTGCTTCTTGGTTGGGGGGGTCTATGCATCTCAATGGGGCAGAAATTTTTTTACCAAAAATTAACGAAGACTCAGAAACTGTTTTAAATGCTTGGCCCCATTAGTGCAGCTTGTGAAACCTTTGCAAACTTAATCTGGCTTTGTTCTGAGTCTTCGTTAATTTTTGGTGAATTTTTGTCTCCCCCATTGAGATGCCTTGAAGCCTACTCAATGCATTTGAATGGTGGATACATTGTTTCACACAACAATGTTTCCTATGGGGATTTTCGCTTAAGGACGGCAATCCGTTCCAATTCGAACGGATTATCCTGTTTTCAATGCATCTCTATGGGAAATGGTGTTTCACAGAACAATGTTTTCACAGAACGTTTTTTTTTAACCAATTAACATCATTGTGCGAGGCACCACTGTACTGTATTAGGTATGAAGGAAGAACAAACTGGATTTGGACTCAGATGTTGTTCTTCTTTGCTATATACTTCCCAAAATATGCTAAAGCAGATATGGGCAGATATTTCTCTTGAGAGAGACAACATGAGGTGATTATCATCTTTGGGAGTAACCATGGCTTGAAGTGCTCACTGCCTGACATTGCCCGATTGCCTCAAATTTCGTCTAGAGCAGTGGCTCCCAATCTTGGGTCCCCAGATGTTCTTGGACTACAACTCCCAGGAATACTGGCCAGCACAGCTAGTGGTGAGGGCTTTGGAAAGTTTTAGTCCAAAAACATCGGGAGACCCAATGTCGGGAGCCATTGCTCTAAGGAAATGAGGATCGCAAGGCATTAAAAATACTCACTAAATAATGGTGCCAGTGGATGGAAAATAGCAAGGACAGTTGGAATGAAACTTTAACTTCCAAATGTTTTTAGGGTTTTCTTCATCTCTCTCTCCTCAGTGCAGCAGTCTGCTTCATCAAATTCCATATGTCCCCTATAAAAGCAGCATTTCTTTTTCCCTAAACACACCCTAATACAGGAGAGCCGGTGTGGTGTAGCAGATTAAAATATCACACTTGAACTCAAGACTTGGAATTCCAAACCCCATTCAGGCCTGAAAAACCATTACGAGGGGGTAAAACCAATCCACTAACCTTTCACATACCTCAAATACTCAATTAAGGTTACCATGAGTCATAAGTAATTTGATGGCTCGTGTCATCAACAACCGATACAAAAACACACACAACTGTATTTTCTGCCTAATCTGTCTAGAGCTTCTTTCTAGTCAGAGACATGAAGTGATAGAAAAAAATAGCTCTTCATTTTGCTCCTTGGTCTCTCATATCTGCTTCCAGACAAGGCTGAATCTGGATAAGATGGAGGTCTTGAGGGTGGGCAGCCCTTCTATCAGTGGTTTGGGAAAAAAAACCCTCTTTTGGGGGAGTGACTCTCACCATGAAGAGTGAGGTTCGCAGCTTGGGGGTCCATTTGGATCCAGCGTTCACCATGGAAACCCAAGTAGCGTCAGTAGTCTGCTCCACCTATTTCCATCTGTGGCGGATTGCTCAGCTGCATCCCTATCCTGATGCTGGGGCGCCCACCACTTTGGTCCATGTGCGTGTAATCGTGAGATTAGACTACTGTAATGTGCTTTACTTGGGCTACCTTTGAGACTGATACAGAAGTTTCAAATGGTGCAGAATGCGGCAGCCAGATTTCTGACTGGGGTGAGAAAATACTAGCATATTTCACCCACTCTGGCTGCCTTGCATTGGCTGCCCGTCCATTTCCACACTGATTTCAGTGTTAATGATGACATATAAAGCCATAAATGGTTCAGGACCTCAATAGCTAGTGGAATGCCTCCTCCCAACTAGATCTACCTGAATCACTCATTCTAGCCAAGAAGGGCTGCTGAGGGCTTAACACCAAGGGAGGCCCAGAGAGAAAGAACAAGAAACCAGGCCTTCCCCACAGTGGCACCTCGCCTCTGGAACAGTCTGCCCCCAGAGATCTGTCTGGCTCCCTCACTGGGTGTTTTTAAGAGTAAACTTAAGACCTTGCTCTTCAGGCAGGCTTTTCCTCCTGTCATCACCTGATTATTTTTCCCATCTTGAACTATATTATTACTGCTGTTTTTATTTTATTATATTGTTCTTACTTTTATCTATCACTGTTAGCCACCCAGAGTAGACTTTGGTTTGGATGGGCGGGGTATAAATTTAATAAATAAATAAATATATTTAAGCTATACCAACATTCAGTCCTGTTCCTGCTTCTCTCAACTTCCGATTCCTTACTCTAGCATTTTTCTTTAGTCCTCACTCCTAAAGATCATTGCCTCAAGATTCCCATTTAGAACCAAGTTTCTGAAAACCTGGGAGATTATACATCATTTGAATTCTCCTCCCTAATTATTTTAGGTAAATGAGTAGACATAAGTTACAAAGCAGTGACTGAGATACACCTAAATTTTTGAAACCTGTCCTTTAAAGAATAAACTTATCCCATGCAAACCTACTAAAACCCTTCAAACTTCACCTGAAACCATACAATCCCCACTTATCCCCCACTGACTGAGATTAAACATATGGTGACAATATAGAGGATCTTCAAGATCACAGCAGCTTGATATTGAAACACTGTTCTTAGAGAAGCATACCCGATGCCAGCCAACTTTGATGTCTTTTAGCTACAAAGTAGGACTATATGATTCTAAGGATTCCCAGCTGCTTTAAGCAATCTTGTGTGGATCTACCTAAACCCAGTTTCTGTTGCAGCTTTTATTTATTTTTATCGTATTTAGTAACTTCAATGTTTTTAATCAGGTTTTATACACTGCACTGCACCCCAGAAAAAAGATAGTAACGACTTGGTTTTTAAATTGTAAACTGCCCTAACAGTCCTGTTGTGAAGGAGACTCCTAAAAATCATAAATATTCTGAACATTCTCAAATGTTACTTTCTATTCACACTTACAAAACAGAATCCTTAAGCAAAATGCTCACATCTACATAATAATCTAGACACTTAGTTCTATTTGATATGACATTAGGTAACCAGAATCACTCTCTTGTCCTGAAATTCTTTTCTCTTATTATTTAGCTAAGGAACATCAAGTCAGAGGCAACTTATAGTGACCCTAACGGAGATTTCAAGAAAGGTAAGTGGGATATTTAAGGAATGATCTTAGCATTATATTCCCACTGAGTTTCTATTCCCACTCTGTCTGCTATGACCAATCTCCTTTCGCTCACTTTATAGATGCTGATCTCTCATCCTGTTTCATGAAATATGGTGATGCCCCTATGTGCAAGTGCTGAGTATCTACAGATTAACATATAATTGGGTTGTACCATTTCTAGCAAGGAAAATTAATGCTTGATATCCATAGTCAAATCAATGAATTAGGCATGCTGTTCTGCTGCACATGTGATACAAAGTTATGATCACAGTGGCCTCTAGGTGTGGAAGTGGCTTGGGCTCACTAGAGGCAATCCATGAGATCAAATGGGGCACTGCTGCCAACCTGTTTGTTACAAAGAGTGGAAAGAGTCCCTATTCCCTTTCTTTGCAGAAAATCAAGTACAAGATAGTAAGGTAAAGGTAGATGTTCCCCTTGACATTCTTAGTCTAATCGTTTCCGACTCTAGGGGGCGGTGCTCATCCTGTTTTCAAGCTGTAGAGCCAGCGCTTGTCCTAAGACAGTTTCTGTGGTCACATGGCCAGTGTGACTACAGAACGCTGTATTACCTTCCCACTGAGGTGGTACCTATTTATCTACTCGCATTTACATGCTTTCGAACTGCTAGGTTGGTGAGGAGCTGGGACAAAGAGACGGGAGCTCACTACGTTGCGTGGATTCAATCTTACGACTTGCAGCACAGGCTTCTGCGGTTTAGCACGCAGCGCCACCACGTCCCTACAAGATAGTAGATGCCTATTAAACCAACATAAAAATTGACTTAGATATTAAAGAGTTTTACTGCAGTGTGACCATAAGAGCCAAGGAAGGGAACAGAAAAACAAAATAAAAATTATTCTGATCTACTGTTACCTTTCTTGGCCACCTTGTTCTGTCAGTCTCATCAAGCCCTCACTGCCACTGCGCAGACTACTCACTCTGCTAATACCTGAGATTGGTCGACATTCACATTTTCCTCCGACATCTGAAAACTAACTTGAGAACAACTTGCAGAATTCAGAGTCAGATTCAGATGCAAATATGTGAGGAAATGTTAATTTTAATTGACATTGCTGAGTATGTGCTGAGCAGGGATCCAAAGCCAGGCAGGCCTCCAGAGTCCCAGTCCATTGCTCTATCCACTACCACATTGGCTAACCCTCTTAATATTAGCGCCTATAGAAACAGTAATAGGTTAAGTGTTTCTGCCACAAGCTTACTATTTGGCCTTTAACAAGCCAAACATATGGAAGTGAGTTCTGTTGCAGAAAACTGATCAATATGTTGTACAAGTAATGTAACTTGAGGTTTATAGGTAAGCAAACCTGGGTATCTTGCAGCTTAGTTCTTCAAGCACAAGATAACTACGTCTCCAACTACATTTCAATAAACAATAGCTCAACTTTAGCAACACAGAACAAATTTATCAGAAAGTTTAAACAATAACTTTAAACAAACAGCAAAAAAAAACCTGTTATGTTCCTATGTAAACCACGTATTACTGTGCTGCGTTAAACTCTGCACAGGTCTAAACTAAACAAAGTCATAAGTTGCTAATAAACTACCAAAAACTAACAAAGTGACTCTCCGTTTCACCAAAAACATAATACTGTAGTTAAGAGAAGAAAAACAAATACTGCGGTAGACAAACATGTGGTTCCCGGAAACTTCTAGTCCGTGAACATGGAACTCCTTTGTGGAGGGACCGGAAGCGAACTGGCAAGACTCCCGAACAGCTCCCACCCGACTGCAGGGGAGAACGGAATTTTAAAAAAGTGAATAAATCTCCTGAGGAGTAAGTGAAACCTTGAAGAGAAATTTAGGAGGAAAAGGAGAGGAATTCTTTTTGCTGATTTAAAGCAACAGGCAGCCTCCAAGTGTTTCGGGACGACGGAAGAGGCCTCTTCGTACGAACGGCCCCGAATGCCGGGACGTTTGGAGGCTTAGGAGAACTCCAAGGCCTAGAAATCAGAGGGAGGAAGAGGGAACGGGCCCGGGTTCTCTGCCGAAAGGAACAAGGGCCGAAGGCCGGGCCTGAAACAGGTACCCGACGGGGAAAGGGCAGCGGGCAAGGCCTAAGGACCGGCGCCCTGAAGAGGCCGGGAAGCTAACTGGGGCTTTCATAACGGAGGGGCGGGTTTCAGGCCCGGCAGTAGGCTTATCATAGTTCCCACCCCCACCCCCACCATCCCTGACCCACGGTGAGATGGGAAGAACAACCAGGAAAGACCGCGGCTCTCACCTTGGCCGTACGTGCGGAGGGCCTCTCTCGATCCCGTCAGGCCTCAGGAAAAGCGCCTGCGCCTGCGCGGGCGCTTCCTTTCCCGCGGCTCCGCCTAGCGACGCCGCGCGTGGCCCGGTCGAAGGGAAGCGAGCTCTCGCGGGAAGGGGGAAGAGAACCGGACGTGAGCTCAGGCTTGGTCGCGTGATCTGGGAGCAGACCCGACAGCGACATTCTCCACCGAGCGCCAGTAGCACTTGAGGCGGCTCCCCGAGGGTGGCTCAGGGTTTTTTCCCTGTGAGCGGGGCGAAAGCGGGCCGGGGGTGGTGGTGGAGAGACACTACGGAACAACGTAATAAATGAAAACATACAGGTGTAGTAACCATAGAAATATAACCCTTTCGTTGTTCTGCATTTTAAAAAATGTTCTGCCTCAAGAACTGGAGAAAAAGTTAAGTGGCATTTTGAAACAAAGGGGTGAGATAGAGCAAGATTTATATCTCTACAATTTTGCGATTAATATTTATTTATATATTTATTTCATCAACTTTACATGTCGCCCCATTAGTGCGATGAACTATTCTGGGTGATTCACAACAAGTAGAACAGCAGATGTATAACAAAAACGTGTAAAATGGTAAAAAAAAGCCATCAGAAAGGAATAGAACAAAGGCACTTCCTCTATTTTAGCGAAATGCATAAATATGCATTTCTTTCTTTGTTTAATATCCCACCTTTCTTTTTTGCAGTACCCAAGGAAGTTCACATCATAAATTTAAACATTACCAATATATTACAGTGGCGGCAGTGTATAGGCGAACCTCCCAATCGTTCTGTGACTTCCCAACTGAGATACTAAGGGAATCCATCTCATATTTGGCCTTCCTCTTTTCCTCCTACCTTCTACATTACCTGGCATCCAAACGTTCCCATTAGACTCTGTCAGCCTGCAATGGTATAAATGCTTTCCTGACCCCGCTTGCTCGCACTCCGTCTGAATGGAGTTAAGTCTCGTGTATAACAGTATTGTACCACAATGTCCTCCTGGGCATAAGCCCCATTCAACCACGGGGCACGAGCCTCCACCACATTCAGCCCTCTTTCTCCCCCCTCACCAGCAGCCCAACTGCCTTCTCTTTACACAGCGATGTATTCTATGCACAGGCAATCCTTGGGAACCGACAGTGTAGCCCCAGTCGACTGTTCACTCGTGCACCTCTTTGGGGGAAGCAGTCCCGCCCTTAGTATGAACGATGAGGCGGCTGTGATTGGCCAAGCCCAGGGAATGGAAGTCACGTGACGGGAAAGGGGAAGCCTTGTTTCTCCCGGGTCGTTGCTGTGTTTGCGCTACCCTGGAGGGCGGGAGTCTGCTCCGGTCGCTAGTTATTTTCGACAGCGCGGGTGATAGGAACATGCAGCTGCTAGTTTAATGGCAACAATAGGAAGAGGGTCTTTCTGCTCTTCTCCAAACCTATGAATCTGCGACTTTGCGGAAATGTTTTCAGACTGATGAGTAGGCTGGGTTCCTCCCTGTCTTTCCATCTGCAGGCGAGCTACCCTGCACAAGTTGCCAAGAGAAGGGCTTTGTAAGAAAAACAAACATGGCCCTGCTCTTTTAATTGTTACGCTTTAAGAATCAGAAGAAAAAGGTGGTATGGAATAAAAGCTGTAGTAAATAGTTTTAAAAGTGTAATTTTTAAAAAGTAAAGCATAATAAAAAGAAATCAGAAAGTTTGTAATAAATGCTACATTGTTTTTAATAGATTTTTATTCAGTCATAATATTTACTGTCTTTATAAAGGCTATGTTATGTTAAAAAAAATCCAGAGACACCACTTTAGGCTCACAACCTAGCATTATAGATTATCTTAAATTCCATCCCTGCCAAGCAAAGAATGCATGGTTTGGCGCATTTTTGCAGGAGTAAGAAAGCAGCCACTATGGCCAAGGATAGGTGTTTTGAAATGAGTTGCCAGCAGCGGAAGCAGGTAGAACTGCTGGATAGCTCTGTGGTTTAGGCATCTAGCTGTGTGTCTCCCTGGTGGGCTGGACTTGATGATCGTTAGGATTCTTTCATGTTCTGCAGTTATAAGAACACAGAATAGACAGAAACCCACTGCATTGGAAGAGCAAGAGTAAGTGTTTTCATCTGCTTACCTGTGACCTCATGGCCAAGTGGACTTAAGAAGCTCTAATGACAGTGAAAATCTTTACCTTCTTGGGCTCCATGATCACTACAGATGGTGACAGAAGCCACAAAATTAAAAGACGCCTGCTTCTTGGGAGAAAAGAGATGACAAACCTAGACAGCATCTTAAAAAGCAGAGACATCACCTTGCCCACAAAGGTCCACATAGTCAAAGCTATGGTTTTTCCAGTAGTGATGTATGGAAGTGAGAGATGGACCATAAAGGAGGCTGACCACCGAAGAATTGATGCTTTTGAATTGTGGTGCTGGACGAGACTCTTCAGAGTCCTCTGGACTGCAAGAAGAACAAACCTATCCATTTTGAAGGAAATCAACCCTGAGTGCTGACTGGAAGGACAGATCCTGAAGCTGAGGCTCCAATACTTTGGCCATCTCATGAGAAGAGAATACTCCCTGGAAAAGACCCTGATGTTGGGAAAGTGTGAAGGCAAGAGGAGAAGGGGATGACAGAGGATGAGATGGTTGGGCAGTGTCACCAAAGCTACCAACATGAATTGGACCAAACTCGGGGAGGCAGTGGAAGACAGGAGGGCCTGGTGTGCTCCGGTCCATGGGGTCACAAAGAGTCGGACACAACTTAACAGCTAAACAACAACAAAAATGACTAGAGAGATTTTCTTCCTAACACACGGAGCTCAGATTCAGCAGTTTCCAGTATCTCCTGTCTCATGATACAATATTTTGGGCAGGAACATGAACAAGAATGCTTTCATGAGTGGTGGGTCACCACCCCTTTGAAAGTGGCAGGTGTGGGGAATCTGTTTTATTTTACAATATTTGGATACATATCCTGTTACAGTGATGCCTCGCAAGACGAATGCCTTGCACAACGGAAAACTCGCAAGGCGAAAGCGTTTTGCGATTTTTTGTGACTCGCAAGACAAAATTTTCTATTGATTGATTGATTGATTTGATTTCATTTGATTTGTATCCCGCCCATTGTATTCCACCCATCTGGCCATGCTTCACAAGATGAATAGGAACACATTAATTAAATTTCAGTGCATTCCTATGGGAAATTGTGCATCGAAATTTTTGCAATACAAAATGACTCACGGAATGAATTATTTTAGTCTTGCGAAGCATCACTGTATTTCTTTATTGGCAGTTCTGGCTGTCGCTGATTAAAGTTAGAATCCAGAAGCGTTCCAGGAGTGCCATAATATTAATCATTTCTTTACTGGCAGTTCTGGCTGTGGCTGATTAAAGTTAGAATCCAGGAGCGTTCCAGGAGTGCCATAATATTAATCAATATTTATGTCTGTGAATGAAGTTTTGGCCCCAAGAGCAGCATCTAGGATGTGCACACATGCTTATGCATATACACAGCAGCACACATGCATGTAGGTTGTTTATATTGATCTGGATCTTTTCTGACAGAGCCTAGCTCAGTTTCTGTGTCAAACTTCAGAAGCAATTCCAAGTGCCTAAAGTTCTAGGTACGCAAAGCAGAGCTCAGTTTTGTACATGCCTCTTCAGAAGGAAGCCTCAGTTTCATGCATTCAGCTCAGATTGCAGCCAGTTCTGGATGAGGTCACATTCGCTGTAAAGCATTATATTCACCATTTGGGAGTATTCCTGGATTGATTCACTATCAGCCATGTGCATTTTCCTGGCTACAGTGATGCAAACTTTGGTTACTTCCCAGCTTGACTACTGCAGCACGATCAGCAAGGGTCTGCCCTTGAGTGTTTAAAACAGATCACTGTTGCCCCTCACACAATTTCCCTTTTTTGCACAAAAGACATGGAAGCTTCATGATTTGGCTTTCCTAAAGATATCCATGGCCGTATTGTTCTGGTTGCAGATTTGCTGGCTGTGATGTGTCTGTGTCCTGGGTCCCTCTTGCAAGATCATATCCTGTGTTTCAGGCTTTCAGATTACAGTATTAGAGCTCAAGATGAACTGTGAATTTCAGGCCTTTGCTTTCATTCTAAACTGTGCATTCCTGAATCTGTACTACAAAAGAAGTGTATTTTTGGTTCATTCTTGCAGATCTCTGCCTAAATTGTAAATCCGTTGGACAAGTGTTAAGAAGTAGGATGCCTAGTTTTGGAGGTACTGTATTTTAGATGCATCACATTAAGGACAATTTAATATTATTAAATCACAATGTTAATCTAATTAGCTTAGTCTTACATATATTGATCACTGTATTAACTCCTTTAATTAATAATTTTATATAGAACAACAACATGGAATAGTGGGATAGGCCATTTTGTGCATGCACATATTAACATGGTAAAGGGTTCTTAGTATATCAGAGAAGCTGAGAGCAATGCAGTCAGCAGACTAGACTCCTTCATGAGTTTAGACTCCTAGCAGGGTCATCCAAGATGGAATAGTCAAAGCCAAGATACCAGACTAAAATGCATTCGCCCTCATTAATGGTCAGTTCCTGTAGTGATGGGGACACAGAAACCCTGAATGGTAGCTACAGGGCAGCAGTGGTAGTGGAATTTGATACTGGTGGACAACATCAGCAGTGTCATTCAAGATAACGTGTCAGCATTATGGGAAAGAAGGCAATGGTAAGCCACTTCTGAATACTTCTTAAAGTGAAATCTGTGTGATGAAACAATCCAAAATGAAACTAGAAATAGTGCTGGAAGACGAAAGTTTTAGGTTGGAAGGTAATCATCCAGAACAAAGAACAAGTACAAATACTCGTAGCACTGTTGCTAATGAAGTAACTAGATTAAAGCTGACAGGACATCTATTGACCAATGTATATAGAGGTGAAAAGAAAGTCTAATGCTGCAAAACATCCCCAACAGGAACATGGAATGTAAGAAACATGAACCAAGATCAACTGAAAATTATAAAGCATAGATGGAACATTTCAACACTGCAGTACTTGATGTGAGTGAGTTAAAGTAGACAGGAATAGGACATTTTCAGTCAGTTATGAAGCATTTTATTCTGGAAATGACAAAATCAGAAAAAATTGTGTGGCAACATGTAGCACAAACAGTTGGGGGTATGATGCAAGCTCTGACCAAATAACATAAGTCAGACTTCCTGGAAAAGTTATCAACATAAGCATTCTTCAGATCTATGCTCCAGCTACAGAT